GACTTTAGGATTAAGAGTTTGGGTCTATCTTTGGGATGGGGTTTTGTATCTGGGTTGTCGGGTCACTAAAATTAATAATTCTGTTTTGGCTTTGGCTTTTGCATTTAGGGCTGGGTTTTGGTGCTGGTTTTTGGGGCTCGTTGGTTGGGTTTTGACTTTTGGGATTGACTTTGGGTTTGTTTTCTTGTCGGGTCACTAAAATTAAAACTAAAAGATCTTTGAAGGAAGACAAATATTGTGAACCTAAGTATTACACCACAACCTAATATGATAAAATAAATTGGAAATTGAGAAAGTTAAACATAGTTCAGGACAAAAAATGATTTATGATTTTAGATTGTTATAACCCATAAATGGAGTTCAAAGACTGTGTTCATACCCTTATGCAGAATCTGGGTTAGGTTTTGGCGTCTATGTTTGGGACTGGTTTTTGGGCCTGGGTTTTGGGTAGACTCTAGGTTGGGTTGATACTTCATATAATCAAATAGTGTGATAAGACATCCACAAATTTCTTCTAGAGAGTGAAATAGTTATGCAATGTAGTGTTTTTGAAACGCTAAAAAGTATTTGCATACGCTAGCTTTGAAATCATCGGTGGAATACCATAGCAACTTGACACAATGAGCCTCAAAATGCACGAATCAATAACAGTTGAGGCATTAGATGCCTCATTATCAAGAAAGAGGGGGAATTGCTCATTAGCTAGCATTGGTCGATTTTTTTATGAACCTGATATTGCATTCAGAATGAGCTATTTTCTTTTCAAACTCCAGTAACAACATGCACTTATAAAGTCTAAATGATTTGAAGCATGGAATTAAAAAGAGGTTATTAATGATTTACCTGGGATAGAAGCATATTATTTAATATGAATTTATTCTCCAGATTATCCGCTCGAAGATCAGAGGATGCAAGAGGAAAGGAAAGATGAAATAGAGTTAGGACTGGTTGATATGTAACCCGTAGCCTGGAGAATCAATCAAAATTTAAATTTATATATGCAAGCATCATAGGAAAAGCAAAATATATGAAATGAGCCACTTTACTTGCTAGAAAGAATCAGGTGCTTTGCATACAATAGAATATAACTAACATTCAACCGAAGAACCTGATACTCTCGTATGATTTTTTAAATTTGCTAGTACTGAATACTTATATTTTTCAAACAAAAAAAAAGTTGATCTTTTAAGAAAAAATGCTTTTGCTGATGTTTATGAATTGGCCATATCTTTTAGAATGTTTGTAGTATATGAAAATAGGAAGGAAAGTACCACCAAACTGTTGCAGGTTCAGCCCTACCTGTAGGTGAAAAATGACCCTTCTTTTAGTAATAGAAACAAACAACAAAGAGAAGAACAAGCCAAAGAACTCATAAGATTTTACCTAGGAGGAAGCTTGGAGAAGGTGTCTCATCCCATCTCCCAAAATCGAATAGAAATAGCCCAATGTACATGCTGAAATAATTGGGAGGGGATTATTAAGGGAAGGATCCATAAATACAACCAAGTGCAGGGGTATTCCCATGTTTAAAAATTGTGAATAAGTACAAAAGGAATGAATATGACATTAACAGGCTTTGACAATGAAGACCAACCATTGTCTATGGCGTTTGACATGGTAAATATAGCCGTTTTAGTGAAATTTGAATGTCACATGGCCTTAAGCACCTATTTGTAATAGTGTAGTTTTGATTAGAGTGCAGCAGTTCATATTAAGCCAATTTTTTTGGGAGATATCCGACCAAAAGAGGAAAACCAATACCGGTACATGATGAAATTTCCATTTTGTTGATCGGTGGAGGCGTTGAAATTTCCATTTTGTTGAAAGTACCGCCAAGCTCCAGCCAATAAAGAAGACTCGGCATGAATCCTGTCATCAAATAGGACATGAAAGAGGTTAATAAATAGGAAAATCTCTTACCAAAGTTATGGTCAAAGCTGCAAATGAATGGGGGTTGAATGTATATATATATATATATATATATATATATATATATATATATATATATATATATATATATATATATATATATATATATATATATATATATATATATATATATATATATATACGCATGCGAAGTCCCTCCGTATATCGTAGCGAGTTTGAAGGGTCGTGAGAGTGACTCGCTCCGAGCATCGCGTTGGGCGGTTGATGGCTTATTTGCATATGCTGCCAATTAATTTTCTCAATTTTATTTAAAAAAAAATATTGAAAAGTAAAAATTACTCTGTACTTAAAATTTGACGAGAGAAAAGAGAAAAATTGTAGACTACATATTCTTTATGGAGTACTTCATATTTTAATAGGAATTGAAGTGGATAATTATTTTGATACACTTTTTAACCACTTCCAAGCAGGGGTGAGTTTTGGATACATATCACCCTCTCCAAACCCTACTCTCGTGGGGTTTTCCTGGGATTGTCGTTCTTTTTTATGGCAGGGGGCATTCAAGTTTGGGTGCAATGAGATATTGAAAGTACTTACGTGCAGCGGATTATCAGAGGTTGAGGTTTCAAAGGCTCTGGTCCATTTCCTATCCCCCCTCTTGTGACGAGTAACCTGCGATTAATTGGCAATAGCTTTAGAGTAACTCTTGTGACGAGTAACCTGCTTTATTTGAAAAGGTTATGTAATGGTACTTTCAGCGTGTTCAAAATTAATTGTCATGTTAAGGAAGTTGTTAGAGGATGAAGCTTCTTTTTAGGGACGGTCATTAGTTCCATAGACCAATTGAAGAAAGTAATATCTTGGAATCTGTAAGCAATGTTCCCTTCAATCCTTTCCTGATTTTCAGATTAGGCCTTTATTGGCGCTATGGGATTGCCAAAGATGATGTTGTCCGTTGGAATTGGTTGTGCAATGGCGTGAGCAAAGTTATGGAAGCCGGATGTGGGTCCTACATTTTTTCCGTTGTCCAAGCAGCTCCTTAGTGTGGCTACCCTGAAAGCCATATCCCTACAGCTTGCACTTCAAGACCACACTCTCTGCACATAGGATGAACATCATTTCTTTAGTTAAATATTATTTCCCTCAATTCATTAAGAGGTAATGTTTTGCATCCCCTTTTATACAATTCTGCATCCTACAGCTGCCCATTATAAATGTATAATCCCAACTCTGTTGGATTTGGGGGGGGGGGGTCAACATGTCCACAACCTCACCCCCGTAAAAAGAGAGAGTCTATGTCGACTTGACCCTTGATTGTTGTGTTTACTATACAAAACTCCATAAAATGTTAGAAGCAAAGAGTTTTAATGTAGCATTTTGATTTAGTGTATT